AAGGGAGAGGGTTTATGTTGCGGTGATAAGGGGGGGGGGAGGTAGCCAAAGTATTTTAGGGGGGAGGGGCGAAAGGGAGGGAATGGCGATGTGGGGGAGGGAAGGCGGGGGAAGGAAGGGAAAAGGGGAAGTGGAAGCACATACCGGAGGGGCCGTGGCAGGGGAGGGCAAGGGAGGGCGTTGTAGGGCTGCGCCAGGGGATTATGGGGCGTGTTTTTTTTGTTTTTGTTTTTCCGTGTAATGATTATGTTCTTATGTTCTTGCTGTTCTTTAGTGCGTCTGCCCGAGGAGGAGGTTATGCATTCGGCGAGGCTGTTGGTTGGCCGGATTGTCAGCGGAAATTAAGTTATGGATGGTGGAATTTTTGAGGCTGTTATTGTAGTTGTTTATTTTCGTTTCTGTTGTTGTTGTCGTCGTCATTCTTGTTCTTCCCCTTGTTCTTATTCTGCAGCATAATCGCCATCTCCATCATTATTATTTTAGTATTGTATCATGCTTTCAGTCAGTTAAGCAGATCCGGCATTGTTGCAGTGCACGCACATGCAATACATCAGCAATTATTCTCATCATCATTCATGTCTGCAATACTCGTGCATTCTCATCATCTGGGCAAGGGCATCTTCGTCAGCGTAGGTACTTGAAGCGAGCACATGCACACGCACATCCTTTGTTAAATCAACATTTCTGTACCTCCGCAGTTTACGTTTTATTTCTTGCAAGCAGTCAGTATTAAATTTTAAATTGATACGTGTAATTAGGACGGATGCCTTCGACAATTTTACAAGTGTATCAGTATTACAACAAGTCAGAATGTCGGGAACAAAAAAGTAATTAGGGCAAACGACTTTCGTTCGTATTTCAGAAAAGCCTAAGAAACAGCCTCTGCGAATAAAGTGTTAAAAACGCGGTTTAGAAAAAGACGTTTGCATCAAAATCGACGTGTATTGAGCGTGCGGTCGTCTGGCTTCACATTACGTCTAATGGTTTTGACGATGATGTAACGTCGACGGAGCTGGAAATGTACTGCGCTTGGTGTGGAAACGAGTCTTCGTTCGGGTTAGGAAGAATGAGAAGCGAGAATGGGAGAATGAGACAGGCGGACAGACAGGCAGGCAGGCAGGTAGGCAGGCAGGCAGGCAGGCAGGCAGGCAGAAAAAAAGGCAAAAAAGAGAAAGCTGGACAGAAAGACATAGGATAAGGAGGAGAAAGAGAGAGTAAAACAAAACGAAAACGCAAATAGATGTCTGCACATACACACGAACGGCAGCCAGACTCCCACGGCCTTCGCTCTTGAACTTTCCACATTCCTCAGTCGTATCCAAAAACCGGCGCCAGGTCATGGGGGTCGCAGGTAACTCTAATCCACTCACCTGGCTGGTATGTAGACTGATTTTGCTTGCCTTGCCGTCCTGGAAGAAGGCTAACATATCGGCGCGTCGAATGAAGTGTTGTCCAGCGAAATTGTTCGTCTTTTTTGTCTTTATATTAACTATTTATTTTTTAGATTCTTTTCCTTCCTGTTGCGTCTACATACGTCTATACTCTCTATACTCACTAGATTATCTACATATATAAATCTATCATCTCCGACCTTCTATATCATATATAGAAAATGTAAAGGAAAAAAACTTATATAGTATCTAAATAAAGAAGAAATAACTAAAGAAAGAAAGAGAAGGTTATATATAGATCTACTATATCAGCTCACTAGATAAGAAGATCTCTTCTCTCTCATCTGTGTCTCTCTCTCTCTGTCCTCTCTCCTCGTCTCTCTCTCTCTCTCTCCCTCTCCTGCATCTCTCTCTCTCGCTCTCTCTTTTCCTCTCTCTCTCTCTCTCTCTCCATCTCTCTCCTGTTCCCTTTCTCATCTCTCTCCTCTCCCTGTCCCGCCCCCCCCCTTCCTCTCTCTCATCCCTCTCTTCACTCCCCTCCCTCCCGCCCTCCCTCCCTCTCTCTCTCTCTCTCTCTCTCTCTCTCTCTCTCTCTCTCTTCCGCTCTCTCTCTCTCTCTCACTCTCTCTCTCTCTCTCTCCCTTCCCTCCCTTCCCCTTCCTCTCTCTCTCCCTCCCTCCCTCCTCCCTCCCTCCCTCCCTCTCTCTTTCTCTCTCTCTCTCTCTCTCTCTCTCTCTCTCTCTCTCTCTCTCTCTGTCTCTCTCTCTCTCTGTCTCTCTCTCTCTCTCTCTCTCTCTCTCTCTCTCTCTCTCTCTCTTCTCTCTCTCTCTCTCTCTCTCTCTCTCTCTCCCTGTCCCTTTCTCAATCTCTCTCCCTGTCCTGCCCACACCCCTTCTCTCTCTCTCCCTCTCTCCCTCCCTCCCTCCCTCCCTCCCTCCCTCTCTCTCTCTCTCTCTCTCTCCTCTCTCTCTCTCTCTCTCTCTCTCTCTCTCTCTCTCTCTCTCTCTCTCTCTCCCTCCCTCCCTCCCTCCCTCCCTCCCTCCCTCCCTCCCTCCCTCTCTCCCTCTCTCCCTCCCTCTCTCCCTCCCTCCCTCCCTCTATCTCTCTCTCTCTCTCTCTCTCTCTCTCTCTCTCTCTCTCTCTCTCTCTCTCTCTCTCTCTCTCTCTCTCTCTCTCTCTCTCTCTCTCTCTCTCTCTCTCTCTCTCTCTCTCTCTCGCACCCCAACACACACACCCACTTCTCTATTTGACCCGATAACTTCCTTCCTTCCTTTGATAACCCTTCCTTTTTTTTCTCTTTCTTAATATCTCCCTCCTCCAAGGCATTCCGTCTTCGGTTATTACACCAATTTGCCGCGCAATTTGCGACTCCCGACAAACACACACATACGTAATCATATTTATGCTTGGAGCAGACGCAGCATTATTGACTGTTGCGTGACGACTTCGCTACCTGTTACCATTTTAGAAGAGGGGGGGGAAGGAGGAGGAGGAAAGGAAGAGGCAAGAAAGAGGAGGAGGCAAGGAGAGGGAGGAGGCAAGGAGGAGGACGAAGGCAAGGAGGAGGACGAAGGCGAGGAGGAGGATGAAGGCGAGGAGGAGGCAAGGAGGAAGTGGAGAGTGAAGGGCAAAGTGGGGAAGCAGAGGGAAGTTTGAAAAGGAAGAGTGAGGAGGATAAGAAGGAAGGGGGGGCGGAAAGGGAGGAAGAGGGGAGGAGAGGGGAGAGCAGAATTGGAGAAATGAAAAAGAGGGAAGCAAGGGGAAGGGAGGGGCGAAGGGGACCAAAGGCAGTTGGAGTTATCCCTCGGGTGTGTTTGTACCCTCTCGTCCGTTCTCGCGAACTCCGATTATTTCCGAGATGTTTTATATCTTTCTTGCGTTCAGCGCGGATTGGAAGGGAGCGTCAGAAAGGGCGGGAGGCGTGTGTGTATGTGTGTGGGTGGGTGGGGGGTGGGGGTAAAACGCGTGTTGAAGCGGTATTTCAATTACTTTTTTTTTTAGAGATTGATTGGTGTCCGAATTGATTATCTTTTTTTCTACTTTATCTTCCCCATCTTTCTACATATATTTCTCACTTGTAGTATATCTTCCTATCTCCACTTGCTCCCTTTCCCTTTCTTTTTTCTTTTTCCCTGTTTGCTCTGACTTTTTTACGCAATGCGTCTTTTTCTCGGCGACAAAGGGGAGTTGGACAGGAACTTCCACAGTGGATGGGTTGTGGAAGTGTGTTAGTGGATGGGATGTGGAGTGTGTGGTAGTGGGTGGGTTGTGGAAGTGTGATAGTGGGTGGGTTGTGGAGTGTGTGGTAGTGGGTGGGTTGTGGAAGTGTGATAGTGGGTGGGTTGTGGAGTGTGTGGTAGTGGGTGGGTTGTGGAAGTGTGATAGTGGATGGGTTGTGGAAGTGTGATAGTGGGTGGGTTGTGGAAGTGTGATAGTGGGTGGGTTGTGGAGTGTGTGGTAGTGGGTGGGTTGTGGAAGTGTGATAGTGGATGGGTTGTGGAAGTGTGATAGTGGGTGGGTTGTGGAAGTGTGATAGTGGGTGGGTTGTGGAGTGTGTGGTAGTGGGTGGGTTGTGGAAGTGTGATAGTGGATGGGTTGTGGAAGTGTGATAGTGGGTGGGTTGTGGAAGTGTGATAGTGGGTGGGTTGTGGAGTGTGTGGTAGTGGGTGGGTTGTGGAAGTGTGATAGTGGGTGGGTTGTGGAAGTGTGATAGTGGGTGGGTTGTGGAGTGTGTGGTAGTAGGTGGGTTGTGGAAGTGTGATAGTGGATGGGTTGTGGAAGTGTGATAGTGGGTGGGTTGTGGAGTGTGTGGTAGTGGGTGGGTTGTGGAAGTGTGATAGTGGGTGGGTTGTGGAGTGTGTGGTAGTGGGTGGGTTGTGGAAGTGTGATAGTGGGTGGGTTGTGGAAGTGTGATAGTGGGTGGGTTGTGGAGTGTGTGGTAGTAGGTGGGTTGTGGAAGTGTGATAGTGGATGGGTTGTGGAAGTGTGTGATAGTGAGTGGGTTGTGGAAGTGTGTGATAGTGGATGGGTTGTGGAAGTGTGATAGTGGGTGGGTTGTGGAGTGTGTGGTAGTGGGTGGGTTGTGGAAGTGTGATAGTGGGTGGGTTGTGGAGTGTGTGGTAGTGGGTGGGTTGTGGAAGTGTGATAGTGGGTGGGTTGTGGAAGTGTGATAGTGGGTGGGTTGTGGAGTGTGTGGTAGTAGGTGGGTTGTGGAAGTGTGATAGTGGATGGGTTGTGGAAGTGTGTGATAGTGAGTGGGTTGTGGAAGTGTGTGATAGTGGATGGGTTGTGGAAGTGTGATAGTGGGTGGGTTGTGGAGTGTGTGGTAGTGGGTGGGTTGTGGAAGTGTGATAGTGGGTGGGTTGTGGAGTGTGTGATAGTGGATGGGTTGTGGAAGTGTGTGATAGTGGATGGGTTGTGGAAGTGTGATAGTGGGTGGGTTGTGGAAGTGTGATAGTGGGTGGGTTGTGGAAGTGTCATAGTGGGTGGGTTGTGGAAGTGTGATAGTGGGTGGGTTGTGGAGTGTGTGGTAGTGGATGGGATGTGGAAGTGTGTGATAGTGGATGGTTTGTGGAGTGTGGGGTAGTGGATGGGATGTGGAAGTGTCATAGTGGATGGGATGTGGAAGTGTGTGATAGTGGATGGGATGTGGAAGTGTGTGATGGTGGGTTGTGGAAGTGTGTGATAGTGGATGGGATGTGGAAGTGTGTGATAGTGGATGGGATGTGGAAGTGTGTGATAGTGGGTGGGATGTGGAAGTGTGATAGTGGGTGGGTTGTGGAGTGTGTGGTAGTGGGTGGGTTGTGGAAGTGTGATAGTGGGTGGGTTGTGGAAGTGTCATAGTGGGTGGGTTGTGGAAGTGTCATAGTGGATGGGTTGTGGAAGTGTGATAGTGGGTGGGTTGTGGAAGTGTGTGATAGTGGATGGGATGTGGAAGTGTGTGATAGTGGATGGGTTGTGGAGTGTGTGGTAGTGGATGGGATGTGGAAGTGTCATAGTGGATGGGATGTGGAAGTGTGTGATAGTGGATGGGTAGTTAAGAATTCCCAGATAACCATGGTGTTTGAATTGCTTCTCGCCTGTGACCTGGGGATAAGGAAAGATACTAAAGATCTGGCGGGACGGTAGATGATGGTAATTGTTATGATTGCAGTAATAATGGTAGTGATCATGATGATCGTGATGATAATGACGATAATTATAATATTGGTAATGATATTGATAGTTATAAAGATGATAAGAAACGGACATGTAATAATACTAATAATAATGCTAATGCTAATGCTATTAATCATAACGATGATGATAATAATAAAAGTAATAATAATGATAATAATAATAATAATGATAATAAGAATAAGAATAAGAATAATGATAATAAGAATGATAGTGGTAATGGTAATGATAATAAGAATGATAGTGGTAATGATAATGATAATAATGATAATATATTCTGCTGTTATAGGTTGCATGGAACAGATTGGGTTCTTCACCTTCCCCTCCCCCTGCCTTCTTTCCACTACCCTGTCTTCCCATCCCTTCCTTAAATACCCTTCACAGTCCCCTTAGCTCCGGCTTTTCCTGGTCCCTACCCCTATCAGGTCACCTTTCTCACCTCCTTTCTCTCCCCTGCCTCTCCTCCCTTTTTCCTCCCTTCCTCTTCCTCTTTCCTTCCTCACTCCTCGTCTTCTTCTTCTTCCCCTCGACTCCTTCCCCTCCCTCTTCCCTTCCTCCTTCCTCTTTATTCCCCTACTTCTCCTTCCCTCCTTTGACCACCCTCTTCTCCACTACTCTTTCCCTTCCCCATCTGTTCCGCATCCAATCCTTCTTCCTCTTTTCTCCCTCCGCATCCTTTCCGCTTCTTCTCCCCTCCTCCCTTCCTCTCCCCTTCTCCCTTCCTCTCTCCTCCTCCCTTCCTCTCCCCTCTTCCCTTCCTCTCTCCTCCTCCCTTCCTTTCCCCTCCTCCCTTCCTCTTTCCCCCCTTCCTCTCTCCTCCTCCCTTCCTCTCCCCTCCTCCCTTCCTTTCCCCTCCTCCCTTCCTCTTTCCCCCCTTCCTCTCTCCTCCTCCCTTCCTCTCCCCTCCTCCCTTCCTTTCCCCTCCTCCCTTCCTCTCTCCCCCCTTCCTCTCCCCTCCTCCCTCCCTCTCCCCTCCTCCCTTCCTCTCTCCTCCCCCCTTCCTCTCTCCTCCTCCCTTCCTCTCCCCTCCTCCCTTCCTTTCCCCTCCTCCCTTCCTCTCTCCCCCCTTCCTCTCCCCTCCTCCCTTCCTCTCCCCTCCTCCCTTCCTCTCTCCTCCTCCCTTCCTCTCCCCTCCTCCCTTCCTCTCCCCTCCTCCTTTCCTCTCTCCTCCTCCCTTCCTCTCCCCTCCTCCCTTCCTCTCTCCTCCTCCCTTCCTCTCTCCTCCTCCCTCCCTCTCCCCTCCTCCCTCCCTCTCCCCTCCTCCCTTCCTCTCTCCTCCTCCCTTCCTCTCTCCTCCTCCCTCCCTCTCCCCTCCTCCCTCCCTCTCCCCTCCTCCCTTCCTCTCCCCTCCTCCCTTCCTCTCTCCTCCTCCCTTCCTCTCCCCTCCTCCCTTCCTCTCTCCTCCTCCTTTCCTCTCCCCTCCTCCCTTCCTCTCCCCTCCTCCCTTCCTCTCTCCTCCTCCCTTCCTCTCTCCTCCCCTTTCCTCTCCCCTCCTCCCTTCCTCTCTCCTCCTCCCTTCCTCTCTCCTCCCCTTTCCTCTCTCCTCCTCCCTTCCTTTCCCCTCCTCCCTTCCTCTCTCCTCCTCCCTTCCTCTCTCCTCCTCCCTCCCTCTCCCCTCCTCCCTCCCTCTCCCCTCCTCCCTTCCTCTCTCCTCCTCCCTTCCTCTCTCCTCCTCCCTTCCTCTCCCCTCCTCCCTCCCTCTCCCCTCCTCCCTTCCTCTCTCCTCCTCCCTTCCTCTCTCCTCCCCTTTCCTCTCTCCTCCTCCCTTCCTTTCCCCTCCTCCCTTCCTCTCTCCTCCTCCCTTCCTCTCCCCTCCTCCCTTCCTCTCCCCTCCTCCCTTCCTCTCCCCTCCTCCCTCCCTCTCCCCTCCTCCCTTCCTCTCTCCTCCTCCCTTCCTCTCTCCTCCCCTTTCCTCTCTCCTCCTCCCTTCCTTTCCCCTCCTCCCTTCCTCTCTCCTCCTCCCTCCCTCTCCCCTCCTCCCTTCCTCTCCCCTCCTCCCTTCCTCTCTCCTCCTCCCTTCCTCTCCCCTCGTCCCTTCCTCTCCCCTCCTCCCTTCCTCTCTCCTCCTCCCTTCCTCTCTCCTCCCCTTTCCTCTCTCCTCCTCCCTTCCTTTCCCCTCCTCCCTTCCTCTCTCCTCCTCCCTTCCTCTCCCCTCCTCCCTCCCTCTCCCCTCCTCCCTTCCTCTCTCCTCCTCCCTTCCTCTCCCCTCCTCCCTCCCTCTCCCCTCCTCCCTCCCTCTCCCCTCCTCCCTTCCTCTCTCCTCCTCCCTTCCTCTCCCCTCCTCCCTCCCTCTCCCCTCCTCCCTTCCTCTCTCCTCCCCCCTTCCTCTCTCCTCCTCCCTTCCTCTCCCCTCCTCCCTTCCTCTCTCCTCCTCCCTTCCTCTCCCCTCCTCCCTTCCTCTCCCCTCGTCCCTTCCTCTCCCCTCCTCCCTTCCTCTCCCCTCCTCCTTCCTCTCCCCTCCTCCCTTCCTCTCCCCTCCTCCCTTCCTCTCCCCTCGTCCCTTCCTCTCCCCTCCTCCCTCCCTCTCCCCTCCTCCCTCCCTCTCCCCTCCTCCCTTCCTCTCTCCTCCTCCCTTCCTCTCTCCTCCTCCCTTCCTCTCCCCTCGTCCCTTCCTCTCCCCCTCGTCCCTTCCTCTCCCCTCGTCCCTTCCTCTCCCCTCCTCCCTTCCTCTCTCCTCCCCTTTCCTCTCCCTCCTCCCTTCCTCTCCCCTCGTCCCTTCCTCTCCCCTCCTCCCTTCCTCTCCCCTCCTCCCTTCCTCTCTCCTCCTCCCTTCCTCTCCCCTCCTCCCTTCCTCTCCCCTCCTCCCTCCCTCTCCCCTCCTCCCTTCCTCTCCCCTCCTCCCTTCCTCTCTCCTCCCCCCTTCCTCTCCCCCCCTCCCTTCCTCTCCCCTCCTCCTTACCTCTCCCACCTCCTTTCCTCTCCCCTCCTCCTTTCCACTCCCCTCCTCCTTACCTCTCCCACCTCCTTTCCTCTCCCCTCCTCCCTTCCTCTCCCCTCCTCCCCTTCCCTTCCTCTCCCCTCCTTTCTTCCTTTCCCCTTCCCTCCTCCCTTCCTCTCTCCTCCTCCTCTCCTCTCCCCTCCTCCCTTCCTCTCCCCTCCTCCCCCCTCCTCCCTTCCTCTCCCTTCCTCTCCCCTCCTCCCTTCCTCTCCCCTCCTCCCCTTTCCTCTCCCCTCCTCCCTTCCTCTCCCCTCCTCCCCCCTCCTCCCTTCCTCTCCCCTCCTCCTTTCCTCTCCCCTCCTCCCTTCCTCTCCCTTCCTCTCCCCTCCTCCCTTCCTCTCCCCTCCTCCCCTTTCCTCTCCCCTCCTCCTTCCTCTCCCCTCCTCCCCCCTCCTCCCTTCCTCTCCCCTCCTCCTTTCCTCTCCCCTCCTCCCTTCCTCTCCCTTCCTCTCCCCTCCTCCCTTCCTCTTCCCTCCCCTTTCCTTCGACCCTCAGGTTAAGGAAGTTATTCTCAATCTTCTTAAAGAAAAGGGAGCTTAAGACCCGACCTCTCCTTGAGGGAGAAGGAGGGAGAGTGGTGAGAAGTGAAGGAGAGAGAGAGGGGGGGAGGGGGGGAGATTGATGAGAGGAGGAAAAGGAGAGGAGGAGGGGAGGGGAAGAAGAAATTGAAAACGAAAAGGAGGAAAAGAAAAAAGAAGAGGAGAAGGGGAGGGGAAGAAGAAATTGAAAACGAAAAGGTGGAAAAGAAAAAAGAAGAGGAGGAGGGGGAGGGGAAGAAGAAATTGAAAACGAAAAGGAGGAAAAGAAAAAGAAGAGGAGGAGGGGAGGGGAAGAAGAAATTGAAAACGAAAAGGAGGAAAAGAAAAAAGAAGAGGAGGAGGGGAGGGGAAGAAGAAATTGAAAACGAAAAGGTGGAAAAGAAAAAAGAAGAGGAGGAGGGGGAGGGGAAGAAGAAATTGAAAACGAAAAGGAGGAAAAGAAAAAAGAAGAGGAGGAGGGGGAGGGGAAGAAGAAATTGAAAACGAAAAGGAGAAAAAGAAAAAAAAAGAAGAAGAGGAGGAGGAGGAGGAAATGAAAATAAGAGACGAAAATGAAAATGATTTGAAGTGGAATTCTCCTCCTGCCTTGAACCTTCGAAAGTTCTGAAAATTCTGGAAGCAGCAGCGGGACCAACGCGCCAAATAGCAGGAAGGAAGATATAAGAGGAAGAGGAAGAAGGGGAAGAGAAGGGAGATAGAAGATGAAATGGAAGAAGGGGGGGAGAAGGAAGATAGAAGAGGAAGAGGAAGAAGGGGAGGAGAAGGAGAAAGGAGAAGGAAAGGAAAAGGAGTGGAAGAGGATATTGAGAGGGAAAAGGAGGGGATAGGAAAGGGAGAGAAGAAGAAGAAAAAGAAGTGAAGAAAACAATATGATGATAATGGTTATAATAATAATGATGATAATAATTACAGTAATACTACTATTACTACTACTACTACCACTACTACTACTACTA